AAAAAAGAATACTAATATTTACATTATAGGGATCCCAGAAGAAGAAAAAGAGATAAATGGGCAGAAAACTTATTTGAATAAATAATGGCTGAAAACTTCTCTAACCTGGAGAAGGAAATAGACATCCAGGTCTAGGAAGCAAAGAAAGTCCCAAACCAGTTGAATCCAAAGAGACCTATACCAAGACATGGTATGCCAACTAAAATGGCAAAAGTTAAAGATAGAGAATCTTAAAATCAGCAAGAGAAAAACAATCACATACATAGGAAACACCATAAGACTATCAGCTGATGTTTAGCAGAAACTTTGCAGGCCAGAAGGGAGTGGAAGCATATATTTAGAGGGCTGAAAGGATAAACTTACAATAAAAATACTCTACCTAGCAAGGTTATCATTCAGAATTGAAGGAAATAATAGAGTTTCCTGGAGTAGCAAAAACTAAAGGAGTTAATTACCACTAAACTGCACTTATAAGAAACTATAAGGGGTTTTCTTTAAACAGAAAATAGGCTATAACTAGAAATATATACATATATATACATATATATATATATATATGAAAAAATCATTGATAAAGGCAAATATGCAATAAAGGCAGTAAATCAGCCACTTAACTAGTATGAAAGTTAAATACAAAAATAGGTTAAACTATGACTATAATAAGCACTTAAAGGATATACAAAATAAAAAGATGTAAAAAAAAGACATCAAAAAAACCCAAATGGGCAGGCGGGTGGGGGCGAGAGTCAAATTGTACTGTTTTAGAATGCATTTGAATTTAAGTGACTATCAGCTTAAAATACACACACACACACACACACACACACACCAATATATGAACCTTATGGTATCCACAAGCCAAAACCTACAATAGATGCACAAAAGAGAAAGGAACCCAAATATAACCATCAAGAAAATAAACCAAAAGGGAAGAGAACAAGAGAAGAAGAAAGGAATAGAAGAACCACAAAAAGAACCAGAAAACAATGAATAAAATAGCAATAAATAAATACCTATCAAGAATTACTTTAAATTTAAATGGACTAAATGCTCCAATCAAAAGGGAAAAAAAGAATCGGCACAAGTTACCAATATTAGAAACGAAAAAGTATCACTAAAGTTTCTGCAGACATTAAAAGGGTAATAAGGCAGTATTACAATAAAGTGTATGCCAACAAATTTCAAAATTTAGATGAAATGGATAAATTCTTTGAAAAACACAACTTACCAAAATCAATACAAGATGAAATAGAAAATCTGAATAGGCATATTCACTATAAATAAATTAAATTTGTAATAAAAGTTCTCAGAAAGAAAAAACAGACATAGGGTGGCAAAAACCAAAAACAAATAAAAAAAAATAATAAGACCACCTGTATGCTGCCTACAAGAGACTCACTTCAGATCTAAAGACATACAAACTGAAAGTGAAGGAAAACAAGATATTCCATGCAAATGAAAATAAAAAGAAAGCTGGTACACAATATTTGTATAGGACAAAATAGACTTTAAAACAGAGACTGTAACAAAAGGCAAAGAAAGGCATCACTACAATGATAAAGGGCTAAATCCAAGCAGGGGATATAATACTTGTAGTATATATGCAACCCAACATAGGAGCACCTAAATACATAAAGCAAATATTAACAGGCACAGGAGGAAATTGACAGTTATACAATAATAGTAGGAGACTTACATACTCCACACTTCCATCAATGGGTACATCATCCAGACAGAAAATCAATAAGGAAACGTTGGTCTTAAATATTAGATCAAATAGACTTAACATATCTATAGAACATTTCATTCAAAAACTTCAGAATACACATTTTTTTTTAAAGATTTTATTTATTTATTTGACAGAGAGAGAGACGAGGAGAGAGGGAACACAAGCAGGGGGAGTGGGAGAGGGAGAAGCAGGCTTCCTGCCGAGCGGGGAGCCCGACGTGGGGCTCGATCCCAGGACCCCGGGATCATGACCTGAGCTGAAGGCAGACGCTTAACGACTGAGCCACCCAGGCGCCCCAGAATACACATTTTTTAAGGAGCATAGGAAACATTCTCCAGGGTAGATCACATTAGTCCACAAAACAAGTCTCATTAAATTCAAGAAGACTGAAATCTTATCAAGCATCTTTTCCAATGACAGCAGTATGAAGCTAGGAATTGATTACAAGAAGAACTGGAAAAAACATGGACACATGGAGACTAAACAGCATGTTACTAAATGACTAATGGGTTAGAAAGACATCAAAGAGGAAATAAAAAAATACCTTGAGACAAATGAAAATGGAACCACAACTCCTCCAAATCCATGGGACACTGCAAAAACAGTTCTAAGAGAAAACCTGTAGCAATATAGCAAAAAATAAAGTCCAAACAAACAGTCCAATTTTATACCTAAAGAAACTAGAGAAAAAGAACAAAGCCTAAAGTTAGTAGAAGAGAAGACTTATTTAAGATCAGAGTGGAAATAAATGAAACAGAGACTGAAAAAAAAAAAATAGAAAAGATCAATGAACTAAAAGCTGGTTCTTTGAAAAGGTAAACAAAATCAATAAATAAACCTCTAGCCAGATCTGTCAACAAAAACGAGAACACAAAATCAGAAATTAAAAAGGAGGAGCACCTGGGTGGCTGTCGATTAAGCATCTGCCTTCGGCTCAGGTCATGATCCCAGGGTCCTGGGATCGAGTTCTGCATGGGGCTCCCTGCTCCATGGGGAGACTGCTTCTCCCTCTTCCTCTGCCCCTCTCCCAATTCATGAGCTCTCTCTCTCTCACTCTCAAATAAATAAAATCTTAAAAAATGAAAACAGAGAACTTCAAACGATACTACATATATAAAATATCATAAGAGATTATATGAATAATTACATGCCAAAAACTTGGAAAACCTAGAAGAAATGAACAGCTTTCCAACTCTGAATCATAAAGCAACAGAAAATCTGAATAGAACAATTACAAGGAATGAAATTGAATCAGTAATTCAAAACTTTTCAAAAAGCAAAAGTCCAGGACCAGACAGCTTCACAGGTAAATTCTAATAAATAGCTAAAGAAAAGTTAATACCTAGTTTTCTCAAATTATTCTAAAAAATTTTAAAGAAAGGAATGCTTCCAAACTCATTTTACGAGGCCAGCACTACCCTGATACCAAAACTAGGCAAAGACCCTTAACAAAATATTAACAAACCAAATTCAACAATACTAACAATAAATTAAAAAGATCATACACCACAACTGAGTGGGATTCATTCCAGGAATGCAAGGATGGTTCAGTACCTGCAAATCAAGGTGACACACCATATTACCAAACTAGGATACAAATCATATGATCACCTTAACAGATGCAGAGAATGAACATGACAAAATTCAATATACATTTATAAGAACTCTTAACAAATTGAGTATAAAAGAAATGTATCTCGACATAAGAGACTCTTAGATGGCAGGTTGGAAACTTTTAGATGGTGATTTTTGGGCTTATAGTGATGTGGGAAGGGGATGATGGTTATGATGTGGGGAGGGAAACACCTAGGTGTAGAGAGTTTTGATATTTGAAGGTTACTGTGTTGGATGAGCGGTAATCTGTTGCCTGATAAATAGATTAATGATGAGTTAAAATTACTAAAACAGGTTTATGATATCCTAGTGATTCCAATCATTTATTCACTTGGGCTCACCACAGAGAAGCCTGATGTGTAGAGTACCAATAGGACTGATAACAGTGAACAAGTCCACCAGAAGAAACCCTTTAAATGAGTTTAGTGCTAAACACCACCCATCATCACAGGGAGAACTTACTGTTGTTGCATTTGGAGACATTAATGGCATTATTTTCCATAATCTCTACACCCACATTTGACCTTAAAGAGACAGATACAGAAATTAATCTGCAGGTGACCCCAAAGATCAGGAAACACAAGAAGCCACATTACTAATTGCTTCAGTTATTTCTTAGTGCTGATAACTGACTACCTTACCCACAGTTCCAGGCCAATGATTAAATTTCCCTTCCTTTGCTTATTAGTCCAGGGGGTACAGATGCCTAGAAGGTGTGCAAGGTAATTTATTGAGGTGCAGTAAGAATATATATTTGAGCACACACTTACGTGTATGTTTCTCATTCCCCTTCAATTTTTATTCTGTTTGTATATCTTTTTGTTTCAATGATAAGGGTTAAATATCCAAAAAGACTGGGGATGACTGGAATGTAAACACTGTCCCCAAATGAATTCACAGATTTTTTTCTAAAATGGCTCTTCACAGAGTCCCAAAACTGATATATTCATAGCACTTTCCTTTGGATCAACATGGAGGCTAAATCATTACCATATTTTCCCAGGGAGTCTCCAGAAATAATTATTTACCTTTCAAAGAGGCTCCATTCTTGTCTGCTAAGATAAGAAACATCCGTGTTTTTGGATTGCATGTGAGTGAGTGCAGCACAGGGCATGTGCTGAGGTCTCACACAGTAGAAGGCTTCTTGGTCCTGAGCATCCAGGTACTCACACAGCTCAGCACTGGAGTTTAAAACCAGGGCACAATCAGTATTGACATGGGAGGTGCCACTGGCAAACTGGCCTGTGAAGATCACCCTGTCATAGCCTTGGTTCCTTGCCCTCCAGAGAGCCGACACTCCTTCACTGGGGTGGATGAGCAGGATAGACAAAGAGACCCAGCCCTCCCAGAAGAGGGTGAAACTGACAAGGTAAGTGCCGTTGTTGAAGTCTGTCACCTTTCCTGAAGCACCTGCCTTCAGCGCTGGGGAGGACATCCTGGCCCTCAGGAAATCCCCGCCATATTCCTTCCTGCGTTCCAAGTGGTCCCTCACCTCCAGGAGGATGTCTAGCTGATCCCCCCTGCAGTAGGTGTCTCGAGAGTGGAGGATGGTGGCTGTGCTGGGTGCAGCACTGGTGGTGGTGTTCATGTGGGTAAAAGGTCTGGGGGGGATCAGCTGGTCTAGTTTGTCCATGATTCTCTTTATTCTTAGCTCAGTCTCTGCTGATGAAACTACTGGATGCAGTGGTAATTCAGGACTTGAGGACTTCATGATAAAGTTCCAGTGATGGAGGGAGATGGGCAACTTAAGTGCAGTCCATATCTGAAATGATAATGAATACAATAAAGAATATAGAGACTGTTTTATGTAATATAATAATTTTTGGTAAGTTAGCCAACTTTGATCTTTTATATAATAATGGGAGATATAAAATAAAATGATACTGAGATTTTATTATCATATATGTTTCATGGGCAAAATAATTTGGTGGTGGAACTCCATTTTTCACTGGCTGATATATTTTGGGTTCTAGAATCTTCTTCCTTAGAGTGGTGACGATAAAATACACCTTTGCTGGGCAGTTGTGAAGACGTGGAAAAATGTTTTTTAACTGCATAGCACACAACAGATGTTTACCGTTCTATTATTTTTTAATCTTAAAACTAGAATTCAGTCATTAAAAAAATCCTTAAGAAAATGTTTAAGATGCATGGGGCTTTTATGTAAAAATATGATTATTTTTTTCTATTTGATATTTTGTATGTTGCTTAAACATCCTATGATATTTATTAGTATTTTTCAGATTGTTTTAGTTAACTTAGGAGATAATAAACATAGGCTTACAAAAATATTTATTTTCTAATCATAAATTAACACTGATTATTAAAAATGGGAGAATGCCAAACTGTATAGGAAACAAAAATCAGTGACAATTATGACAACCATAATTGGTTGAATCTGTCATAATTGATAACTACTGTTAACATTTTGGTGATTTTTCTTTCATTCTCTATATGCTATTTCACATGATTGTGAACAAACCGAATATTACCAATGAATTTTGATATTTTTAAAAACAGTGTTGTTAAAAACTCCACCTTATGTCACTGGCTCACATAGTATTCCAGCCTATGGATACAGCTTAATATTTTACATATTCCCACCTTTTTGGACATTTATTACACTCAACTTTTCTCTTGCTTATACTTCAGTATAAATGTTTTGGTATAAATCTTTGCAATCCAGGTTATTTGTAAGAACTCAGAAATAGAATTATTTTGATCCAATGTGGTGAACACTGTTAAAGGCCTTTCTTTTTTTAATTTATTTGTGAGAGAGAGAGAGCATGTGAGCACAAGCAGAGGGAGCGGCAGGCAGAGGGAGAAGCAGGTTCCCTGCTGAGCAAGAAGCCCAGTGTGGGACTTGATCCCAGGACTCGGGGATCATGACCTGAGCCAAAGGCAGATGCTTAACCGACTGAGCCCCCCGGACATCCCAACACTGGTAAAGGTCTTAATATACACTATGAAATTGTTTTCCAGAACAATTCTCCTGCAGATAACAATGATAAACTTTAAACCATAAAGAAAGAAAATCTCCACAAGCACTGGAGAGTGACCGCCATAAGCAGATGGGACACTGGAGCGAAGTTGAAACTTGGAATAAGGAACAGCACTGGACTTGTATTATAAGGGGTGCTAACTAACATTCTTCAAGTGAAAGGGAAATTACACAAATAGAAACACAGATCTCAGAAAAGAATGAAAAGCACCAGAAATGGTAACTATATTGATAAATATAAAATACTATATGTTTGTCTCCTAATTTATCTAAAATGCATGTAATTATTTAAAGTAAAAATTGTAATTTTGTAATAATATGACAATGATAGCATAAAGAATGGGGTGGCAAATAGATGGAAGTAAATAGTTGAAAGGTTATTACAGATCACATGAAGTAGCATGATATTAACTATAAAAGAACATGCATTATAATCCCTAGAGGAACTACTTAAAAAAAAAACTTACAGCTGTAAAAATAATAAAGAAACTAACAGGAAATTCTAAAAAAAAAAAATCAATTAATCCAAAAAGAGGAACAGAGGGGCCAAAGAGAAAACAAACAGTAAACTGATGGACCTAAATCCGCTCAAAAATTTCATTAACAATAAGTTGACTAAACATGCTATTACAAGACAGAGATAAAAAAGCAAGACCCAACTATTTGCTGCTTATCAAAAATGTAGTTTAAGTATAAAGTTATCTATAGATTGAAAGTAAAGATGGGAAACATGCCATGTAAGCATGAAAAAGCTAATATTAATGTTAAAATAGACTTCAAGACAAAGCATGTCACCAGACATAGAGATAGACATTTCACAGTGGTAAGAGTCAATTTGTCAGAAAACATAGCATCATAAATGTGTATTGTACCTACACGTACATGTGTTTATAAGTGAAACAAAAATTGACAGAATTAAAGGGACATAAAACTCCACAATAATGATTAGAAACTTAAAACCTGTCTCAGTAGTTGCTATAGGAACTTAAAACTACTGTCTCAGTAGTTGCTATTTATTTAGATAAAAAAATGAGTAATGACCTAGAGAATATGTACATTAATCATCACAATACCTTATCAGGTACTTAACCATCACAATACATTATCAGGTACTTTTTAATTGCTACAACTTCAGCACATGGAAATTTTAAGTGATTTTTAGTATGATAGAATATTACTCTGGGCAAAAAATTTTTTTGGTAAAAATAAGCAGGAAAACCTGATTCAAGATGGAGGACAAAGGACATATTATAGCCTCAATTTCCCACCAGAAAATCTAATGAAAGATAGAAAAAAAATTAAATATTTCTAAGTATTCTAGGAAATAGGATGAGATACCTTAATTAGACCAGAATTTATAAGAAATCTGAAAAATAGGGGTGCCTTGCTGTCTCAGTTGGTAGAGCATAAGATTCTTGATCTCAGGGTCATGAGTTTGAGCCCCACACTGGGTGGAGAGATACCTCAAAAAAAAAAAAAAAAAAGAAATCTGAAAAACAAAAGGCAGATGAACTTAGATCAACGAAGAAAACCATGGCTCCAAATGCATGTCAATGAGAATTCTGCAGAAGATGGAAGCCACTCCAAGGATACTCCAAACTTGGAGGAAGTTGATAATTGGAATAAGAGAGGATAAAGGAGTAGCCCATGGGAGGACATACTGGGATGGTTACTGCTTCCCTATTTTTCCACCTGTGCCTGGCCAGGCAGCTAGAAATGGGGACTTCTGTACTTTACTGTGCATAAAAACTCTAGGTATTTAAGTTGGAGGGTGTAGGATAGGACCCTGTGTGCCTGGCAACACCCCAGACAAATGGGGAGCATTTATTGCCTTGAGTACTTTTTGCAGCTCTGCTGCAAACATGCTGGAGAAAATAGGTAACAGGACTCAGTCTGGCCACCACAGAACCTTAAGTATAAGAATGGACATACAACCAAGGATTAGCAAAAATTTTATGAAAGCCAACTCAAGAAAGAAAAGTATCAAGTTCAGTAAAGAGAAGACAAAGGAACAGAAATAGAAAATGCACAACAAAACTTTAGAGCAAGTATATTTCTATCCTTGGGGAGATACTAGGTGATATTTGCATCCCTCAACTAATGAATCAGAGACCTTGCAAAGCAAAATATTGCTGTTCAATATGCAAAAGTCAACTGCATTCTTCTACACCAGCAAGAAGGAATTAGAAAATGCTAAGGGAGGGCACCTGGGTGGCTCAGTTGGTTAGGCGACTGCCTTCGGCTCGGGTCATGATCCTGGAGTCCCGGGATCGAGTCCCGCATCGGGCTCCCTGCTCAGCGTGGAGTCTGCTTCTCCCTCTGACCCTCCCCCTCTCATGCTCTCTTTCTCTATCTCATTCTCTCTCTCAAATAAATAAAAAAAAAAAAAAATTAAAAAAAAAAATGCTAAGGGAACATAATAATAAAAAAATAAAAAATAAAATAAAAACACCATTTACAACAGCAACAAAAAAATTATAAAGTACCTAGTTATAAATCTAATAAAAGATGTAGAAGACAGGTATGCAAAAATTTTTAAATTTACTGAAAGATCTTGAAGAAAACCTAAATAAATGGACAGAGATTACATGTTTGTAAAGAGTAAAATAATATTATAAACATGTCAGTTTTCCCAATTTGAGCTGCATGGTTAATGTAATGCACATAAAATTTAAGTAAGATTTTTCCATCATATCTGACAGACTGACTCTAAAACATATAATAATAAAAGAGTAAAGGGCCAATCCTGGCCGGGAAACTTGTGAAGTAGATTAAGTGGTGGTAACTTGACCTAGAAGCTTTCATGACTAACTATTAAACTAATTATTATTATTATTATTTATATTAATTATAGCAATGTGGTATTGATACAGGGAAGATACATAGGTCAATGGAATAGAACAAAGAGAACAGAAAGGGACCCATCCTGATCAGAAATTTTGATACATGACAAGAATGACATGATGAATCAGCATAGAAAGAAACAACTACAAAATAAGAAGACCTGAAAAGGTGATCATCCATACAGAAATAAAAATCAGCAAAAAAAAAAAATTCAGATCTGTTGCAGAGTTAAATGTCTAGAGCAACCTTTAAAAGCTTAAGTAGAATATTTAGATAAATAATCTGACACTGAAGTAGGGAAGGGTTTCTTAATACTCAAAAAGAATTGACTGTTTGAAAAGGCAGATAAATTTTACTATGTAGACAGGAAAATGTATTGTTCAGAAATTCCCTTAAAGGTGAAAAAACAAGCTAAACATTGGGAGAAAATCATTGCAGGGGCATTTGTAAGTGACAAAAGAAGTGTGCATGCATACACACACACGCGCATGCGCACACACACGAACACAACATCCTCCTCACCCAAGCTGCATAATAATCAAATATGTTGATTCTTTTATTTGTTTTTTATTAAGTAGGCTCCACACCCAGCATGGAGCCCAACGTGGGGTCTGAACTCACCACCCTGAGATCAAGATCTGAGCCAAGATCAAGAGTTGGACACTCAACCAACTGAGCCCCTCAGGTGTCCCCAAATAAGTTGGCTCTTCAAAGTTGTGTAAGCTGTTGAAATTCCCCTACTACAATTTAGTAAGTCTCGTTGTTTGGACTTTCCTTTTTTTTTAATCTTTTCTTTCTTTCCTTTCCTTTCTTTCTTTTCTTTCCTTCTTTTCTTTTTTTCTTTCTCTTCCTTCCTTCCTTTCCTTTTCTTCCTTCCTTCCTTCCTTTAAGATTTTTTATTTGTCAGAAAGAGAGTGCAAGAGCACAAGCAGGGGGGATCATGGCAGGCAAAGGGAGAAGCAGGCTCCCTGCTGAACAAGGAGCCAGATGCAGAACTTGATCCCATGACCTTAACCGTCTAAGCCACGCAGGCATCCCTGTTTGAATTTTCCTAGAACAGGTAAAGTATGAAGTAAAAGTAAGACACAGAAAGAAAGCAATTCCTACCTTAGTGGAATTTTGAAAAACTGTAAAAATGATCCAGGCGGCCAATATAAACTGTATCAACAGTGATTTACGATTTGCCATACTTCTCATGATGAGGATCCTACAAGAGATAATACAAAACAAACACATGCACAGCAGAAAGAAAATGCAGAAATACATGAAAAGTTTATACCTCTTGATTCTTTTGTCCTAAGTTTCTCCCAGAACAGAACCTTGCCCTGCTCCTACATAGAAGCTGCTCTTATTGTCCTCCCAACGGCCATCTTTGGCGATCAGCTTGTACCTTCAACAGAAACGCTGTTCTGAGACAGGAAGCCCACCATGGATTCTATGAAACTGAGCCGTTAATGGCCTGGAGAATGCAGGGTTGCTCATGTTTACGTGTCCAGGCTATTTTGTTCCCTAACAGATTTCCTATTCTCTTCCCTTAAACACAAACTGTAGACAAAACATCTCAGCAAATGTTGACCCTGATCATCACTTTATCCCAAGGCCTTTTTAAAATTTTTTAATTGTTATGTTAATCACCATACATTACATCATTAGTTTTTATTTATTTATTTTTTTATTCTTATGTTAATCCCCATACATTACATCATTAGTTTTAGATGAA